CCCCAAAACCCCAAAACCCCAAAACCCCAAAACCCCGATACGACATTCTAAAATTGAGATTTCTTTTCTAAAATCATGACCTATTTAACGTACGTTCAAATCCCAAAATTCCTTACCAGCTGCTGCTTAGCCCCAAACGGCCAAGCCAAACTAGGCTTAAGGCAGCTGGCTAAGCTAGAGCCTGCTTTCAGAAAATTAGCCGATGCTTAAAAGCCGATTTGGAGGCCAAGCAGGAGGCTTCTTGGCCCAGCCAAGTGAATGGGACTTTTGAAGAAGAGAAATTTAGGTTGAGGATGCGAAGAAATTTGCAGTAGGAATTATTAGTGGCCTTGGGATTTGTAGATGGAGTATTTCAAGATCTTGTGTTCTAACGATGTCTCAATTTATATCACATCTCATTCACTAATCCCTCCTCTACTCTTACTCTGCTTACCCCTTCATCTGTGCTTGGATTCTCTTATAGTGTTCAAAATGTTCTTTACTAGTCAGAGTCATAATCTGCTCCTCGCTAAATTCGCTTTTACAACCTTGTGTCGGACACTTGAGGGGTACTATGTTTGCTTCAAATTGAGCTAGGATTCCTTCCTTCATACAGTCATAGTGGAAGTTGTGGCCTCAGCCCAGGCTCAGAGGAGCGCCCTTGAACGGCTGCCCGCAGTGAATGCAAGGCTGCGGTGGTGACTGAGGTGTTTCAGCTATTTGTGACTTTGAAGATGGATGAGCGGCTGCGGCTGGGATCTGGCAAGGAGCTGATTGGGGAGGGCCAGTGCAGGAGGAGACTGGAGGTGCAGGTTGAGGAGCATTGGAAGGGTTCGGAGGAGGATTGGAGGGACGGGCTGCCTCAGAAGTGTCTGAATCTGAGGAGGAACGTTCGGTGTAGTTCCTTTTCCTAGGGTTTTTGGCCTCTGATGAGGTGCTTGTAAGGGGTTGTGGATTTTGGAGGTGGGTTTTGGGATCTTTGATAGGAGGATCTTTGACAGGAGGATCTTTGACAGGAGGATCTTTGACAGGAGAATCTTTTGTAGGAGGATCTTCGTGCTTTATATCAACATGTTTATCAGTTTTGTGATCTTCATGAAGAAGCTTCTGCTGGCTTTCTTGTTTAAATCTTGGAATGACTTCTTCCTTTGGAGCAGGAGCTTCGATCTCTTGAAACTCTTCTTCAAATGCATCATGCTCATCTTTAAACCATTGCAGATTCAATACTTCCCCTAGATAATCTTGCTCATACATATCTCTGTAAGTCTTCTCAATCTTATCTCGTGGGAACCTATGCCTTGAGATCTTATTTATGTGCGATCTTTGCTAGTGCAATAAATCCTTTCGGGTCATACTTATCTCCAAGCCTACAATACGTGAATCCGAGTCAGAACATCAAGCCTGGGTCGAATCCCTTACATTGCTTACTAACCGCAGCTAGGAGGCTTTTATTGTACTCTATTGGCTCACTGTCCTGTAGATTCATTATAATTTAATTAGTGGTCTATTCAAAGAGGAGATATTTAAATGGGGTTTTGGGGTTTTGGGGTTTTGGGGTTTTGGGG